TGCATCTCTACATAAATCTTTATATATATATATATATATATATATATATATATATATATTATAATATAATTTATATATATATATATATATATATATATATATATATATATATATATATATATATATATATATATAGGAAAACGATATATAAAGGAATTTAAATACCAATTATATGAACACAAAAGGGATTTTTTACATAACAACACACGAAATGTGTGATTAGTTGACTGTATTGAGTCCGAGCATAATTTTGATTTTAAAAAATGCTACTTCTAAGAGAAAGAAATTTACTTAGATAAAAATGTATACTTAGATCGGTAGACCATAACAGTAAATTTGCGTTCAGTTTCTTGTCAGATCTTCTATTATCCCATTGTGGGATATTTAATAAAGTGTTGGAAACAAGAACAAAAAGAAAAAGAAACTAAAAGAAATCGGTTAGACTATATAACCAAAACATATGTTTAAAAAAATATTTAAAATTCTCACCGTCCCCTCTTCTTGAAGTTCGATAGGATGAAACGTATTTTTCCTATATATATATATATATATATATATATATGAACTGAGATCTAATATAAATCAAATATGGATTGGAATGCAACAAAATTATTGGATAAGGAACAAATAGGAAATGTTTATAAATTTAACATGTTTTGTTTCTCTGATGAAGCTTTACTAAAAGCGAAACATGTTAGATTTATAAACGTTTCCTATTTGTTCCTTATCCTATAACACACACACATACATACATACATATATTATATATATATATATATATATATATATATATATATATATATATATATATATATATATATATATATATATATATATGGAAAGCGCATCACTTCATTTAGAGAATTAATGGATTTATATTTGTAATCATATTTTTTTATTACTTCAAATGTTATTATAATGTACACTTCTTATCTGAAATAGACGCCCCATTCTTATTTTCTTTTTTTATTAAACTGTGTAATACGTCTAACAGCTTACGCACTCGAGAAATCTAAGTAAAGAAAATGCGTCTTCCGGTCGGGATCAAACCTGGTTCTCTCTCCCCCGATTATAGGAAAATCTACAGTTAAATAGATGATCCGGAATGCTCTACCGCTCGGCTACGAAGACCATCACAGTAATCAAGGCTCTTTTTACCCTATTAAAAGGAAATCTCATTTCCTTCCTTATGCCTTTTTTTTTTTTTCGAGGGCCCATATCTGCTCAGTTTCGCATCTGAAACGTAAACAAGACAATTTTGAAAGGTCAAGAATCTCAGTCGATGATGTAAAGCAAGAAGTTCGTAAACGTGAAAATTGTTGAACAGGAAGATTCCCAATTTTTATATGAGATTTGTTCCGGGGTATGACTGTCTAAAGCAGCACCTAGAATTCATATGCGATCACATATATTACGTCAAATGTCTAATCATGTTAAAAGGAATTTTCACGACAGTGACTTTACAAACTTCCTGAAGGACCTGCAATTAAATGGACTTAAAAAGCATATGAAAGTGCATGGTGACAACAAACAGGTTCAAAACACGTTCATTGGAGAATCGTGAGTCCAAATGTATAGTGCAACATAAAGTGGACAATTCCTATATTCTTAAAATTTCCCCCATAAACGGAAAAATGTTAGATTGTCGGAAAAAACTCATTAAAAGATTAATTAAATCTTCCTATGTCGGCCGTTTTCAGTCAAAGATGCATGAGAGTGTTTAATGTTCTATAAAATAAATATATATATATATATATATATATATATATATATATATATATATATATATATATATATATACCATAATTAATTGATGTAAACACTGATATATATATATATATATATATATATATATATATATATATTAAAATAAATAATTATAAATTAACTGATTTAAAATGTGTTTTTTTTCTACATAGTAATAACCATGTTTCAAAAAAAAGAAAAAGCTTCAAATTTAATTATAGAATCAAATTAAAAGCATTATTTTATTCATCTTTTAAAAATTTTGAATAACTTATTTTTAAATTTACTGTGCTTTAAACGCACATATAAATTCATAATTTCGTGTTTCCAAGTATACAGAGATATCCAATCATTAATAAAAATAAAAAATTACATAAAAAAATTGGCAGCTGGTAATATAGATACTTATATCTGATATGAAAAAAATTTAAATAATTTATGTAATTCTATTACATTTACTTGTTTTAATAAAAATATAGTCTGTTAGTAATTAAGAGTAAAAATATTTTAAAATTGTAGTTAAATAAAACGTATTCTAATCCAAACAACCCATTATAGAATCTTTAAGTATACAAGTAGGAAAAAATGCCGAAAAACTTTTTGTCGTTAAAAAAAAAAAAAAATGATATGTGTTTAACGGATATCAGAATTTGTTGAAAAATACACCCCTACCCCCCTAAACTTAACCTCTTTTACGAACGTAACTCAAAATTGATACAACAATAGTTACTAAAAATGAACACGCTACCGACCCGTCTGAATGATTGGATTTCTCTGTATCCTTGGAAACAGGAAATTATGAATTTATATGTGCGTTTAAAACTCAGTAAATTTAAAAAATAAGTTATTCCAAAATTCGCTTGAAGATGAAGCGGAACTAATGCTTTTAATTTAATTATATAATTGGATTTGAAGTTTTTAGCCTCAGTTTTTGAAACATGGCTTTTACTGGGTAGCGAAAAAAAGCTTATTTTAAATCAGTTAATTTATAATATTTATGCTCTGTAAAGTTACATTGAGCACTGTTTTGTAAAAATAAAAACTACCAATAAGAACACCGGATTATATATCTTACTGTTCTTTCTTTTCATTTGTGTATATATATATATATATATATATATATATGTGTGTGTGTGTGTGTGTGTGTGTGTGTGTGTGTGTGTGTGTGTGTGTGAATAAGAACAAGTGCCGACCCTTCAATTAATGAATTTTATTACTTTTAGACGTTATGGTTAGTGGATACCCGTATTTGAGTAGAAGCTCTGTTTATTAAAAAAAAAAAAAAAAAGTTGTATCAAACGCCGGTTTCTCCTGCAAAAGAAGACGCAGGTTCTGATCCTTCGGAATGGGCGCATTTTCTTTAATAAGGCCGGTTGACGAAATAAAATACCTGCCTGGTTATTACGCGCAAGCGCATGAAAGTAGTAGTAGTGGTTGGTTAATATACACCCGAAAATAATTAAAGAATATATATCGGGTGTAACAGCAAAACTGTTCAAATCGTGTAATAGCATAGGATAATTGTCCATCCCACAAAATGTTTAATATCTGAAAAAAAAAAAAAAACTAAACCAATTTAGTTTCTTTTTTTCCAGGTTTTCAGATAGGACGTTTAGCCATTTTGACACCATTTGTCTTAGGAATCACTGAAAACCCCTTTGAATTATACAGCTAGAAAGAGAATAGTTTAAAATAGTTTTGTGTCAACCCCACCATGTCTTCCCAACTATGGAATGGTGAGAGGAAAAAGATCATTTAGGCCTTCAGTAATGGTACCAACATTCATACTCTGGCTTCCATTATCAAAGTCCGTTCAAGAACCTTCAAGAGAACGCTGAACAAGTTTGAAAAAAGGGAACAATAGAGATCAGTAGGTCACAACAGAAAGTGGGATCAACATTTCAACTTAAAGCTAAATACATTCTTATTGTTCAAAGTAGAGTCCAATAAGGTTATAAAAACCACGGATAATTCCAGTAAGATATCTTTAATCATTTCTAAGATACAAAGGTACAAAGCTTAATTTAACAATTGGACAATTTTGCTGCTACACCTGGTATGTGTATATATATATATATATATATATATATATATATATATATATTTTTTTTTTTTCTATTTCACCATAACCCAGATTTCAGCTTTTGGAAGTAAAGTCTGATGATCCAGAACCCTGTTAAAGGGGTTATGGTGAAATAGCTTATTACATGGAATCTTAACGTGGTCTGTCTTTTATTCAAATATATATATATAGATAGATAGATAGATGGATAGAGGGAGAGAGAGAGAGAGAGAGAGTATTGGGTTTTAATTGTCGTAGTCACAAGAACTTTCTTTAAAAAACTATTAAGACTATGAGTTTAGATTCTGTCGTCTTCATGTCAAACGTTTTTTTAGGAATGTAAACACGACTCAAATGTACGTGTTTCTAAAGATAACAGCGTTGCCTATTAACGGCTTCACGGTTTCACAGAGTCGCCAAATGGTTGGTGGTTGGATTACGATGTTTGGCTTTCTCATTTTAATCACATTTACAAGCAGACAGCAGGAAAACAAACACGTGTAATTATTTCACGATTAACGAATCACTCCATTTGGCAACGCCATTAAGTGTCGAATTTCTAATGATAAATAATCATTTGGTATTTACCTATATTTAACGAAAAAACTATTTCACAAATTTCAGTCAGCATGAATCATATTTGTACGTATATATAATCCGTGGACAGTGTTCTCTTTAAAAAGTTTAGAGAAAACATTGTTAATGTCTAAATACATCTTTCCTCGTATTTTTTCCTGTAACATCGAATGTTACATGTAGAAAAGACATCTTATAATTGTAACACATTCAGATACTTTATAGTGTTGTTCCAAGCGTAGTTTAGATGTGGCACAAGGCCGAAAGTGGGGGGGACCCAGTGAGGATCGAACTCACTGGTAATTGTTCTAGTGAGACAAGCTTGCTAACAATTACACCGCCTCGAAGTGCTCAAATTCAGGTACGTTATATAATAGTTTGCGTTATGTGCATTCACTTCAGAGTTCATAAACAGTACATCACTGAATTACCTAAATATGGGAATTAGTTACTAATCTCTTTGCAGCAGACACGGCGCTAGAGTATTTTTTTTTTTAAATCGCGGTAAATCAGAAGGGTATTTACGCGTAAATGACTATAACGAACCCAACTGAAATTGGAACTCGGCTCTCTGATTAACAAACCAATGGACATTACACTACTCGTACATTCAAACTTACAGCACCTGCTATTCCCAAGCGGTTACCCATCTAGGTACTGACCGGGCTCAGCATTGCTTAACATACGGGAACCGGTGTTTCAACGAGATGTGGCCGTAAGCCAGAAATGTCATAGATTGAGACCAAGAAGATAAAATTAGTGTTCGGTGAAATGTGAAGAGGCTAAATAACCCCTACACCCTGCGCTATAGTCTCAATAAAGATGAGATGCCGGGCGAATGTCTCAGGATGTCAGTAATTTTGTTTTGCTTCTTGTGGAACAGAAATCATCGCCACATTTGATTTCATTTGCTAAAATGGCCTCCGAAATACAATGTCTGTTATTATTATTATTATTATTATTATTATTATTATTATTATTATTGTTATTACTACTACTGCTACTACTACTACTAATAATAATAATAATAATAATACACGCTAAAGACAATTTTATTGCCACTACAATATCATATTACACTTCCACTTGTTCCTTAAAGTTTGAAAGTTAGTAAATTAAGTTAGCATATAAGTTAAAAAAAAAACCAATACCTCATAAATATTCCGTTTTGAAATGCTAGGAATGGCGGAAAAGACATATCAGAAAGGCTTGGTTTTAGTGAAAGAAAAAAAGAAAGAAAGAACAAAAGAAAGAAAGAAAGAAAGAATGGAAGATAGAAGTGTATAACGGCTCCTGCCAATACCGCATAAATAATGAACTATTCCGTTTTGATCGCGCGAAAAGACGGAAAAAAAAAAACATGTCGGAAACGTTTTTTCGTTTTAGCGAGAAAATGAAAGTAAGAAAGAAAGATAGAAAGAAAATAGAAGTGCTTAAGGGTTCCTGCCAATACCGCATAAATAATGGACTATTCCGTTTTGATGGCGAGTAATGACGGAAAAGATATATCAGAAACGCTGTTTGGTTTCAATAAGAACATTAAAGAAAGAAAAATAGAAGTATTTAACGGCTCCTGCTAATACCATAAAAATAATGGACTATTTCGTTTTGATCACGAGGAAAGATGGAAAAGACATATCAGAAACGCTGTTTGGTGAGAAAAAAGAAAGAAAAAAGAAAAAAAGGCGGAAACGCTCTCATGTGTTTAACGTCTGATTCAGTGAAACGGAAAAAAAACTTGTCAATTTCAAATCTTTTCATTTGTACCCTCTTACTTCTTTAAATAATGACTTGCATTCATATTTATGACTGTTATTGCATTATTTTGTTAAAGTTGTTAAGCTCAAATATTCAAAGATGCATTAGGGGAATTTCCATGGTTATTTTACAGTCGTGTAACTCGCCTTGAGCTTATTCAATCATTTACTTAAGAATTAAGATTAATCGTAAAATTAAAATAAGAAGACCGTGAAATTTTCACGCGTGTGTCTAATGTTCAATACCAGGTTAAGCAAATACAAATTCGGCTCGGAAACAGTTTTTGTAAGCAACCCAATCTTCATATAGAAAAACAATTGTCTTTTTTATGTTAGGACGGTGGAGTAAGGCTTAAAACACGAGAATTGAACATAGTTAATAAAAAAAATTTGAAATTAAAGGGTATGTTTGTTCTCATCATTTTGCTATGATTTTTTGTATACTTTTTTTTAATTATTAGTCACCAAAGTAATTTTATATTGCTTTTCTTTTCTTTTCTTTTTCTATAATTATATCTTTACAGTTGTTGCATCTCTACGTTTAGAGCGCATTTTTCACACTGAATAAATAATTGTAATACTTTTTTGTTTTGTTTTTGTTTTGTTTTTTGTACCAGTGATGGGTTAACTCCCCTGTTAACGAATCTGTAAATAAATCAAGTCTGAAAAATGAACCGATAAAATTTCAAGAAACCTCTCCAATCTCTTTCGTTTCTGGGTCATTTTTGTCTTTAATTTGGATTTCCTTAATTTCCGCTGTGAGTTCTTCCCCTTCGGCGATGTCTGTGATGTCCGCTTTGATAAACGACTTACTGTTTCGTCGACGTACATAGTGACAAAGACCCAATGAAATACAAGCGGCGATCAAGTAACAAACGGAGACGACTGAAAATGGTAATACGTAGTTATCGGTTACTTCAAACAACAGACCTGCAATGAAAAGTCGAATGAAAAGAAATTAGTTATCTGCTTTTAGATAAGCAGATATTTATAAATCAAACAAAAATTTGGTAAAGAAAATAAGAAAGCGATAAAAATGCTCGTAGACAACGTTTTAGAATATTTTTTCAAAATAAAACATGTCAACATGATTTTTAAAGATCAAGCACTCAAAACATTTGCGTGAACTTAAGTTCACACAAATAGATACGAATTCATATTCGATTTCAACTCGATAATCATATTTGAGCAATGATATGACCCAGTCGTTAGAACGTTCCCTTTCCAACAATGATAGCCGTGTTCAATCCTCGTGGCCGATTGTGGACTTTATTGTCTGGCACCTTTGGAAAGCCATACCATGAGTGAAATTGCGTAGACGAAACTATTTGAAAGCCGTCGATGATAGTGCTAGCACGAAATCGCAAGTCATTGTGACCGAGGGTTTCAGCCTACTGACTTGATCAGAATGTTGATCACGCTCTTTCCCAGAAACTGTAAGGTCCGTTCAGCATAATATAAACCACAAACACAAATCTGCCTGAGCAGGCCCCTGCAATAGGAATTGATTAGCTGCTCAAGTAAGCAGGCATAGTCGGATACGAGCGGTCAGCCGCTATTACTGTATACACATTTAACTCTCTCGCCGATGTCTATTGATTTAAAAAGAGAAATAGATAATATCATATTTTATTCAAATTTTCTTGTTTTATCGATATTTTTATGACATTACGAATGATTTTTTTTTCATAGTTATTTATAATATGGTAAATAAGAAATGTTTCATTGTAGTTGTTTTAGATATCTTGATAATTTCGTTTTTTTTATAAATTTTTGAATAACAAAGATTTCTTTTCAAATTTATTTCTTTATGAAATGATAAATAATATTTTTTTTTTTACAAAAAGGTAAATAAATATTGTATTATATTTGGTTCACAAATTTTTTATAATCTTATAAAAAAATTGCCGAGGGAGTCCAAAATGTATACAGTAATAATGATTGCAATGTAATGACTGTCCTTTTGACACTCCGGTTTTGGGCTTGTTGTTTTCTTTTCTTTTTGTGAGCACAAAGATTAAACATTGTCCATATTTTAGTTAAGCGTTTCTACGTTAAATGCTTTGGAAATTAAAATCTTTTTTTAGTTTTATTTGATTCCAAATAATGATTTTTTTTTAATACCAAAATCCTTTCTTGTGCTTGAATACAGGTTTCATACATTAAAATTAACAAATCTTATGAGACATAGGGAGCTCTTTTTGTTTAAAATTTTAAAATTTTGTTGCTACCATCTGATAACTTTCAATGTTTAAATGTTTTATATCCATTCTCTGTACATTAACGTCTCTTCTATATAATCTCCACTTAAACATATTAAACATGGGCTGCCCGATCAAGGAATTACGATTTTTTTTAATCAAAGAGAAGTTCTGTTGCTCTAATTCATCACCCACAGCCTCATTTAGTTACCCTCTGCTTTGAGTAGCCCTTGGACCTTGTATTGGGTGAGCAGATATTAAATAGAAATATGCATCCACTGAACAAATCAGTCTCCAGACATTATATTAAATAGGTTTATATTAAGTATGAGTATTAGGTTTTATATTAAGTATGTTTTATATTAAGTAGTTTACACACCTGCGCTTGTGTGCTAGGAATTCTAAGCAGCCATTGTTTGGATATGTCAATACGAAGACCTCGAAGAAACCATACTGCACAATGGCATTAAAAGACCTGTCAAGATAATTCCATCATTCCCTTGAAGAACTTGGTAGAATGGCGGCACATTTCGTGAGTTAGCACATGACAGAGAGGTTTGGAGAGGACTGATAAGAATTATTTTCAAAGTTGCTGAAGATGAGAAATTAAACTGTTTTGCAGTGTTCCTTCAAGTCGAAACAATTCTGATGATTATGTACTTTTATTGACGGTGTCGACGACATCTTCAGTCGGAAAAACTAGACACTAGTCTACTCTACCTCCATCCGCTTTTCACACACGATTGCCCTCGTCGTACAAAGGTGAGAAAACAATTCGTGGCTGTCAGCAAAGAGGTTATCAACAAACAGAGGAAAGAGAAAGATCCGCACAGGGATAAAAAGAAATGGAGCAGACAGTGAAAGATTGGACAGAGAGGAGCTTTGCTGAAACTAACGCCCTGTCCTATATATGTGGAGGCACGGTGGAGTAATGGATAGCGGCTTGGATTGAAGAATCCATTACATTCACTTACGTGCTAATACCCTTGGAAAAGGTATGAATCCTCTTCTTCTCCCTCCAGCCATGGATAAATAGCAGGACACACTGGGTTCTATAGCCTCGGATGGCAACTGGTCTAGGAGAAGGACAACTCTGAATTCAAAACCTGCGGAGGCTCGTTTGGGAACCTTGTGGCACTCAGTGCACCAGGTCTCTGTATTCGGCCCTTCAAAAAGTGTGGATGGTCCTGCACGAGGCCTTCACCACTATAATCAAATCTCATATGCCGGTGTCGGGCTGTCGGTTTCCTGGAATCTGATCTGCTTGACCCTCATACGTCGAATTCGACGGGAGAGTCGACTATATATATATATATATATATATATATATATATATATATATATATATATATATATATATATATATCGATGTTAGTCATGAGTTCGATCATGGTCCCAGGTCCCAATCTCACTATGGTCGATTTATTAGAAATGGTTTGAGCATAATGAAAACAAAGAAAAATGGAATAATATGGTCAAGTGACAAAATTTGACGATCTCTCCATCGAATACGGAATAGTGCAGTGGAAAGGAGACATAGCAGGCATCGAAATAAAAATAAACAGACAAGATGACTAAGCGAGTAGAGAGAAGTGTAAAAGGACGTTAAATCCATGCATGCGCACGCGTACAAAACGCATTAAAAAACACAGATTGAAAAAGACGCGGACCAATTTGAAAAAAAAAGAAAAACAAATGGAAATATCGTTTAAAACCAGAACCCCCTGAAGACTGGAAATTTTACCAAGAAACTTCTAAAGT